ATAATTTTGTTATTTTTGAAATTTATAAGTTGAGTTGAGTTTAATTTCATTTTTATTTTATTATTATTTATCTTTTGTTTTTAAGAAGAAAACAAATGATGTGTTTAAATACAAAAATAAACAATACTTTTATGAGATTATATGTATTTGAAAAAATTGAAATCATAAGTAAATATTTTTAATACACATAAAGGAGAAACGAATATGCAAATCAAATTAACAACTAAGAAATCAATATATATGTAGTTTTGGATAAACTCGTACTTGTGGAAGTTGAATCTAGTGACTTTTGAAGAAGGATTCATTCTTACTATTAAGACAAAATTTTATTCGCAAGTAAATAATATTTTTAAATGAGTAGAATTTAAAGATTAATATATGTAATAATATATTTGAAAATATATTAAATTTTAATCGTTGTATCAAATAAAAAATTTATAACCATATATAAAATAAAATAATAATATAATATAAATATAAGACATTTTAAGAAAAAAATTTTTATATTCTTTTTAAATTTTTATTAATGTTAGTAGGGTTAATATAAATAAGTTACTTAAAAACCTGCTAAGATATTTACACTAAATTAAAAGTTTTTGAAATTTGAGTGAATCAATTGACCTCACTACCATGCTTGGCTGTGCCACTGACTATATATCTCACTATCACGTACATATATTTTAGAGCTAATAGTACTTATAGTCTTTAAATTTTGATTCAAAATTTCTTTTGGTCCATAATTTTAAAAAGTTTTAATTGAATTTTTAGTTACCAAAAATTATCCTACTTTACTTTTTCATCTATGAAATCGTTTATATTAACGATAAATGTCAATTGACTTTATGTGATGATGTTAACTGACACTCACGTTGTAAAGAGGGATCAAAATAAAAATTTCTCAAGTTTTAAGACTAAAGATGAAATTATTTTAAAATTTTATATATTTTATATATATTTTATAAAAATATTAAATTTAAAATTATATTTTTTATTTTAATATTTTTTAATAATATAATTTATTAGTTAGATTTTTATTAAATGGAAAACAGATATTCAAAACTTAAAATTAAGTAAAAAATTTTAAACTTCTTTTTTTTAAAAAAATCAATACAATTTTTTAAAAAAGTATTATCTATTAAGTATATTATTTTATTCAAAATCATAATAAAAATAATATTTTCTATCCTAAAAATATTATTTTTTAAAATATTAAATATCTTTTTTTAATTATTTTTAAAATATTAAATATTTTTTTAATTATTTTTTAAAATATTAAATATCTTTTATTGTTTTTTAAAAATATATTTTATAAAATATGTTTTATAAAAAAGAAAAAATAAAAAGGTTTTTAAATTATATTTTTTATTTTATATGAATATAAAGTTTTTAACAAAAGTAGATTCAAATTAGATTTTTGGATAGATAAAAATGTTTTAATAGATTAATAAATCTATTTGTTTAACATGATATTAAAATTTTTACATAATATTTTAAAAATATTATGGAGTTTTTATTTAATTTTTTAAACGGATATAGAAACTTTTACTTAATTTTTTAAAATGATATGTAATTTAAAAAAAATTATTTTTAAAATTTTAATTAAATTTTAATTTTTAAAAATCTATTTTCTATTAAAACATTATTTTATTGATACATCATATCATAATAAAAATTAAAAAATATTTTAAATTATAATGTTTTATAAAATATATTTGAAATATATAAAAATCAATTTTTTCTTTAAATTTTTTTTATTTTGTTTTTTATAAAATATATTTGAAAAAGAAAGATATTTAATATTTTTAAAAAAGTATATTTTTTGCATAGAAAATAATTTTTTATTATGATTTATGAATAAAATAATATTTTTAATAGAAAATAAATGTTTTGTTTTTAAAATGATATTGAGTTTTAAAAAAAGAATTTGAATTTTTAAGTTAATTTTATTTTTTTTAAAATCTATTTTTATTAGAAATAAAAAATATAACTAATAAATTACAACAAAAAATATAAAAATATCATTTTAAATTTAATATTTTATAAAATATACAAGAAATATATAAAATTTTAATATAATTTTATCTTTGGTCCCTCTTCTGTCACATGTAGGTGTCAACTAACCTCATAACGTGAGATTAATTGATATTTATCATCAATTTAAATGATTTTATAAATAAAAAAATTAAAATATGATAATTTTGAGTAATTGGATATTTAATTAAATTTTTTTTAAAATTAAAAACCAAAATAAAACTTGTATAAAAGTTTAAGAACTGCGGTGCTATCATCCTTTATATTTGTTCTTTTTTTTTTTTTTTTTTGTATAATGAAAATCAAAACTTTAAGATAAGAGAAAGATTACAAATGTTGAAATTTAACTTATATTATTTTTATAAAAATAATTACGTGAGACATCTTAATTAAATTATGATCGGTATTCAATAATATAGTTAATGTACCAACCTTTCTAACTTTTTAGACTGACCTGACTCGTGAATTGTGATCTTTATATTTTGAAAATTATTACTAGTAATATATATATATATATATATATATATATATAAATCAAGGTCCATTGATTTGAGTTTCAGTAACTTGTTTTCTTATTTCTTAGGGTTTATTATGGGCCTGAAAGTTGACCAACATGAAATGAGGTTCAGTTGAAAGAGAGCCCAGTCATATATTAGCCTGATCCATTCGAAGTTTGGGCCACCAACGAGCTAAATTTTCAACCTACAGTCTAACTCTAATCTAAAGCAATTTTATGCATAAAATGATAAATAAGATAGAATAATTATTATTTTATATTATATTTAGTTTGTATCTAAAAAAATAAAATTATAAAAAAATTAATCATCTTCTTAGTATAAGATGATTTAATCTTTCTAAAATGAAGAAGATTATTTTTAATTCATAAGATTAAATGTTTTATTATATGCCTCAAAATTACATTAATAATTTAAATTATATAAACTTTAAGAAAGAATAATTTTGACCAATAAATAAATTATCTTATCTTAATTATTACACACATCAAATATAAGATAGGATAACATAATTTAATTTAATCTATTCATAATATTATTTTATTTTATTTTATTTTAATTTTGTATACCAAACACATTTTTTAGTACTTTATTTGAGTGATATGGTTATTTTTCACTCTTATTCTTATATGTGGCTGTATTTTAAATAATTTAAAACTTGAAATTAGTTCCACCTGAACAATTGGTTTAATGATTGGTGTCTTGAATAAAAAATCGAATTTCTCTCTTCTCTCAAATAAGTTAAAAAAATTTGAAATCTGTTTGAAACATACTATATTGTTCGCATAATTAAATAACAAAATCATGTACCTGTTCATTTTCTGTTTATCTATGTTCCCTTTTAGTTTTTCTGTACTACTAGTTCAGCATCGATTGTTTGAAAGAACCTAGTAATTTTGGATAGTTTGTTTTAAATTAGAAAAGATGAAAAGAAGGAACATTCAAAGGTAAATCCATGTTCTGCACAAAAAAAAAAAAAAAAAGGACAAAGAAAAAAATTAGGCTTGTATTTAGGTTATTTGAATTTTTAGTGGTACATTACAAGTTTGCCATTCAAACTTCTAAGGAATTTATTTTATTAATTTAGGTTTATGCACAACTTTAAAAAAAAAAATTGGATATGTCTTGTTTGTTCATGGTTTTTTTTTTTTTTTTTTTTTTATGATTAGGATTTGATCTCATTCAAGTGAAGTCAATTTTAATATCATTGAACTTGTTTATAATAGATTATTACTTTATGATAACTGGCTAGTTGCTGAGAATAACAAGGAGATTGACACTATTTATATATAATTGGATTTGACATATCTTCAAATCGATTAGAGAATCCAATATATATTTATTAAATGATATTTTATTATTAATATTTGTTGGCTCGAGTGATAAGAAATTTAGTTTTCTTTAAATAAGATTTCGATTTCGAGTTTTGTGAATGAAATAAATAAGCTTAAAGAAAATTTATCTTCCTAATGAGGTTCGATCTAGCTCGATTTCAGATTAATTAAAGCTCAAAATGATTATCGGACACTTGAGATATCTTAAACAAAAAAAAATATTTTATCAAATTTTCAAGGATGAATATTATGTATTGTGTCAATAAATAATTAATAGATAGATCAGTATCACCCAAAAAAATATAGAACATATTCATTACTAATAATTCAGACAGGATTGAACTTAATTTTTGGTGTTTAAGAATTGAAAGTTCAATTGTAGATCGTGGAAGAGTTTTATAATTTAGAGTAATTATCGACCTTGGAATTCTTGAAGGCAAATTGAGAGTAAACGCAGCAATTAACTACTTAGATTTATGATCATATTATTATTATTATTATTAGGAAAGGGATCAATTTGCATAAAAAGTTTTACTTTTTTTTTAACAATTGATTTTAAAAATTTAAAGGATGAAATTAAAATAAAAATGTTCACTTGTCTCTCACATTTTTTAGATTTATTAAAATTAATGATTAAAAAGGTGTAAAACTTTTTAATTTTATATTGATATAAATTTATCCCTTTTTTTATTTTTTGTAAAAATAAAAAAATAAATTATTATTATTATTATTATTATGAAGTTTATATCCATAAAAAATTATACTTGTCCCAAATTGTTTGGGTATTTTTTGTTTTTATGAAGTTTTAAAAAAAGTTTTGATTTTAGTCTATTTAACATTAAATTTTAAAATTTTTTTACAAAACTAATATTTCATGATTTTTAATGTCAAAAAATAAAAAAAATCATGAAAAATAATTTTAAAATATAAAAAATAAGAATTTTAAGCATTCAAAAAAAAAAAAAAAAAAGAGGATACGTTTTGGGACATAAAAAAAGGCATAGACAAAAAAAAAGGGAGGGGAAGTTAATATATAAAGTTTATAAATATGTTAGCAGTAGTCGGTCTTTCAACCAAAAGAAATGAAATTATATACGTTTCATTTCTTGTATGCATCAATTTATATATAAAAACCACGAAAACATTAACATTTTAGACCATGTAAAAACTATATCTGGTTCTGAAAAACGGGCTCTAAGAAGAAGCTTTGTTGAACTTCAACTGCAAGTTCCTCCAGACTCAGCTGACATTCTAGACCAATCTGCAAAAACAAAAGCCAAAACCAAAAAGACATTGAAAATTAATCATTTATCAACTGCAACTTTCCCCATTATGGTCGTTGTATATTCTTGGAACTAGAATTTCCATATAGAAATAACTGTATATAAAACATGGTTTTTATATGCTGAAATAAAAAAAAAAATTGTTCTCTCAAAACTTTCACATTATGTCAGGTGAATTACTTAGTAAATTATTGTAATTAGCAAGAACATTATTAAGTGTTAAACTGGTAGTGCTGATCCAATTTCATGAAGAAATATCTGAATATTATTAAAAAAAAAAGCAATTAATGTTTTCTGTGATCAGTTGGGTGCCTTAGTTCTGATGTGTTCCCATTCTTGCATGCGCTCAGGTATTTGCAATAAATAAATCTGCTTCAAAATGAACATATGATAAGAAGCACAACAAATGTATTTTTATCAGAAACTTCTGCAAATATATACAAAGTACTCTAAAAACATTTAGCTCCCAGCTGATTAGTTATTTAATGGTTGTTTCTCCTTTTCTGATTAATTAAATTAATTAAATCTCCCATTAATAATTCAACATGGAATTAGTGGGATTTGAGACAGATTCATGATAATTGACAGAAAGATACCTTTATGACAAAGGAGTATAAAACAGTGTCTTCCATGCTGCTGATGTTGAGGTGAAGAACCTCAAATGAAAATTTCTCCAGCACATTTATTATCTTGAGAATTTGACCCGGTATTCGTCGAGAAATGATTTTCAGGACGACATTGGACCCTGATATCCTTGCCTCAACATCTGCAAGTGAAGAGTTGCAACATGCCCCTACTTCTCCAACACTTTCAAATCCCAAGGGGCTATGATCAGGTTGGGTAGGCAGCTGCAGTGGCCTTGGAGTACTTGGACCAGGGCTAGGGCTTAAACTCTTCCTTCGTTTCTTCGACTCCAAAGCTTGCAAAACTTGATGCAACTCCTTGATGAACTCTATCACACCGCCTATGATCGATGCTTGATCACCCTATACCATCATTAAAAAACAAAGGATAAAACCAGAAATTAAGAAACCACGAGGAAGAAGAAGCAGAAGAATTACCCTTTTAATATAGAAACAAGGGGTTAAAGAACGCAAAACTTTGAGATGCTCATTCATTTGCCTTCTTCTATTTCTCTCCACAGCTATATGAGACATGTTAAAATGATTTTAATTTCTCTATAATTCTTCACCTTTAATAGTTTTGTTTTCTTTTGTGTTTTTTTTCCCCTATTTATAGTTAGGACAGAATAGGGTATATATAGTAGGGAAAGTGGTGGCTGATGACTTAGTTGGGAAATAAATGCTGGATGTTGCAGTCTCGTGAGGTTCTTGGTTACTCTTAGTTATTATTGTTATTACGTAGAGCTCACGTTTATTACCTTGGAACAATTACATACCTCCGCGTGAGTTAAAACAAAGGCCACATAAAGGCTTAATTTTGCTCATCTTTTAACTGCCTTTATCTGTTTTTCATGCACTTTCCCCTCTCTATATGTATTGCTAGCTATTATATTTGTTTCATGCATCCATGCATAATATACGCAAGGAGTAAATAAATTCTGCAATACAAAAAAAAAGAAATGAAGGAAAAGGCATGAATATAAATGCTAGTTAATATATATATATATATATATATATATATATATATATATAAGGTTGTCAAAAATTGTAGTTTGATCACTGAAATTATAAGTCTATCATTTCATCAAAAAAATCACATGGTTGCTGGTAATGTAATCTCTATTTGCCATAGCTACATATTATACTTAGGACAAAATTTATATAGAGTTCTTTAGGTGAAGTTTGTAAAGTTTTTTTTTTTAAAATAATATAATAAAACTTTAATAAAAAATTCAAACTGATAAAACGATAAAGTTCAATGTGAAGATCAATAATATGTAAAAAAAAATTATTAAAAATGTTATTTATAATTTGTACACTTGATCTATGTAATAAAATTTTTTAATCTTTCAGTTTTGATTTTCGATTTTAATTTTAATTTTATTGTTTCTAGTTGGGAACTTAATGAATTTCATCTATAAAACTTCATCTAAATATTTCCCATTATACTTATCCAAGGATTGGACCACTAGCTCAAGCCCTAAGGTTTGTTTAATATTTGAGAAGATTTGGATAAAAATATTAAGCTCATTAAATGTGTTTGGGCAAAAAAGATGAGGATCTTTTAATAAAATGGATTGAGTTTTGACTCTAATATTTGTCTAAGCCCAATTCGATCAGCTCAAAAATTATTACATAGCATACAGTATCTAATTTATACTATATAAGGGATAAATATATATAAAATTATAGTGTAAACAATAAAAAATATGTTAAGTTATTTATATTTATAACTTAATAAAATAAAATGCAAAAATATTATATAGTAAATAAAAAATCATGTTATAATTTAAAAAAAAATGCTATTTAGGTAAGTTGGATTGTACTATTACTAATCGGGTCAGATTGAACTTAAAAACATGTAAGATATTGATATCATATTTAGACTCAACCTTAATCTATAGACACCTCCAGTACGTGCATCCATTTATTTTAATAACTTGTTGTGTGATGATATATAAGTATTATTGTGTGATGATATGTCATGCCTCTAGACCAAGACATAATACGATCATATTATCTTAAAGTAAAATTTCAAAGTAATACGAAGCTTTCTTTCTTAATCATTCTAAAATTTTTCAATAAGTAATCTGTTTAAACAAAATTCATAACTTTAATTCACCTAATAAGAAATCTTCATATTTCCAAATATAAACTAATAAAAATACAAAACTGTTTCGTAAGATCTCACTAGCCAACAATGTCTCCAATGCCAACTAATCTTCTCAATTTGATCTTCTAACTTTTCACAAAACTAAGGAAACTTATAATTTACTCATCTGTAAAAAGGAAAGCAAAAGGAAATGAGCAAACCACAACTTAGTAAGTATAGGCTTACACACCTTACCAGATCAAGCATTGTTTTCATACATACTATATAGATCATTCCAAAAAAATTCATCAAATCATATATCAAAACATTTAAAATATCATAATTCTGTCAAACATTTTGTAAATTTATAAATCAATATCAAACATATCAATTTATAAATCATTTCAAAATATACTGTCATTCAAATATCGTAATCAAATCAAATCATGGATCAATATTTAAAATCATCAAAAGTCATCGTAAATCATTAGTTTACTATTAGCTACAGTCACCACTATAACTTGTTATATTGATCGTATCGACAATTTCATCCTCATGATCATTGCTAACTATTATAACCCGCTAACTAAGGCCTAATGCTAACTACTATAACCCGTTAGCCAGGGTCGTAGAACTAATTATGATGTCAATGATCTCACTTCCCAAGGATATAATTTCGTAGCTATCATAAAATTATTATTTAAGCATAAATCATTTTCTCATTTCATTCATAAACATGACCCATTATTTACATAGCAAAACACAACATAATTATATACTTAATCTTATTTTCATATATTGAAAAAAATAAATAAACTTTCACTTATTTAGAAACATACATATATATATAAGTTCGAAAATAAGTAAAGTGTGTGAGATTCTACTTACCTCCTTTTGATTCCACCACTTTGTTTTTTCTCCAAAATAATTCACAGCCTATTCAAGGTCATTTCAACATATCAAAAATTAGTTAACCCTTTTTTAGACCATTTATACTAAAAACAACTAAGTTACACAAGGGTTAACTTAACTAATTCATACTGATAGCTTGAGCTCCTTTCACTAAAATGACCATAGCTCAAGATATCCAACTAGAAAGTAAGATCTTTTTAGTGCATTAGAAACTAGACTTGATAAGCTTTCTAACCATATATGGCCCATTTATGACCCACCTTTTACATTAATTGTAATAATTTTTGCAGTCCACGTCATATGCTATTATCAGATATCATGTATGTCTTCTAATAAAAATTACATATTTATTCATAGGAAACTCCAAATTCAATTATGTTTGTTCCATTGGGAAGTAAACTCAATAAGCTTTCCAAAATATATATGGCTTATTTTGTAATTCATTGTATAAAATTTAAGACAATTTTTGTAATTCTTCTTTACTGCTACTACTGCCAGACAGCATACACATCATTAATTAAAAATTAGACAATTTTTCATAAAAAATTTGGAATTGACTTCTATTTATTTCTTTGGAAAGTGGATTCAACAAGATTTCCAACGGTATATAATACTTATAGTAATAATCTATCCATTAATACAGAATTTCATTTTAATTTACTGTTGTAGATAATAACATCTCATCCAAAAACAAAATTTCTCCTTCAACCTTTAAAAACCCAAATATCTACTTTCACCCTTTAAAATCCACTCAATTATCATCATTAATTCTTAATAAGATGAAGTAAACAAGCTCAATAATTTACCGAAATAGATTATGAAGATTAATGAACAATTTCATAAATTTTCTTTATTTTTCTCTTATAAATTTCAACTCCAAATAATAGCAATTAATACAGTATTGTTCCTAAATAAAAAGAGGACATATACTCACTTTTAGGTGATTAATTCGATTATAGTCTTTGATTTCGAATCTTCAACTTGATTTTTCAAACTCCTAAACCCTAAAAAAGATGAAGAAGAAGAGCTTTCATTTTCTTCTCTATTTTACAATAACAAAGATGGCTAGGTTTTATCTCATATAATATCTTAGCCACTTTTTCTTTATAAATTAGTCTTTTAATAAACTAATGGGCTTTAATAATAATCTAGCCTAGTTATCATTGGACTAGGATATTACATGATATGTGTTTAAGTTCATCATCTAAGATGTCAAATGAGTTGACTGGTCTAAGACTTTAACACGAGTTGGCACAATGTAGGCCACACTTGACATGACCTTCTGTTAAGTAATTAGGCTAAGCCAAGCACACAAAATATATACATTTATCACGTTGGATTAAAGGATTTTAAGCCTATAAGTTGGCATGGCATAACCTGTTAAAGACACGTGCCAACATGTGGTATGTGAGCTAGCACAGTATGGCACACAAGTCTAAATGTGTCGTGCCATATTGGCCTATAACTATTATAAATGGACTTAGCTCATTAACTTTTAAGTTATTTTCATATTTATTTTTATTTTGTGATTAAATTATACTTTTTTATATTTTATTGGGAATTTATAATATAAAATTATATAAAGTAAATTTAATTTTTAAATATTTAATTTATTGATAGAAATTATATCTAATAATTATCAAAAATAAAATAATTCTCCATATATATATTAAATACAAATTCAATTAGCGAATTAAACTACTAAAGGCTCAAAGGTTTAAAATAAATGCTCCAACAGTCCAACTCAAACACAATTTTTGATTAGTATAATAACATTTAATCTAGTCCCCAGCAAGTAAGCAACAATAAACTGATTTGATTTCATTGTTTTTTTTTTCATAAGAATTAAATAACAAACGATTACTTTTCTTGGCAAATATAACAATACATGAAAGAAGGGCATTAGGGATGAAATTTTATGTTGCTAATGCTCTTTATTCGGTCGATAATATTAATTATCAATGAAATTTTTGTCACTCACAATTTATTGAAAAATATAAAATTGCTGAAAGTCTTTCGTTGATAATAAAGTTTTCGCAAGCAAAAAATTAGTGACGGACTTTTTCGTTGTTAATACTTACATTTTCGTTGCTAATACTATTTGCCACTAAAATATTTTTCAAAATTAAAAAAAACTTCTATCGATAAGAACTATTAGTAACTAAATTTTTCATCACTAAAATATTAGTTTTTTAATTTTATAATTAAATTCAATCAATAAAAATTATTAGTGATAAAAATTTCCATTGCTAAAAATATTATTTTTTAAAATTTTATAATTATATTACATCGATAAAACCTTGAAAAATATAAAATTGCTAAAAATCTTTTGTTGATAATAAGGTTTTTGTTTGTAACAAGCAGAAAATTAGCGAAGGAATTTTTTGTCTTTAATACTTACATTTTCGTTGCTAATATTATTTGCCATTAAAATATTTTTCAAAATTAAAACAAAAATTCCACCGATAAGAACTATTAGTAACTGAATTTTCATCGCTAAAATATTAATTTTATAATTTTATAATTAAAT